TCTGTGTGTGCACGTAATTTAGTAATGGAACGAACAAAACATGAGTAGTTTCAGCGAAATATCAGTATTTATGAGGCCACTCTGTCATGTGTTCATAATCGTAGACACAGCCTAAAGGTAAGCAAAGGTAGCCTAAATAGGCGCAATATAAAGAGAAAGGCAAGTTCTGCTGTTTCCGGTAGCAAAGCAACGTGAGGAAAGAACAAAAAATCTCAACTTTGTTTCGTGCTTTAAAAAAACTCAAGATAAAGTACACAAATATCTTTCAACGAGGTACAGTATTATTTTTTGATAGGGAGGTTAAATGTTTGGGTGAGTCTTCAAATGTGAGCCAAACGACCTTCTACGTGAAGAAGAACGCCTAACACCCGCGAATCTGGTAAACGCCTTTAAAAGTATTTTACTTCAAATGTTATAGTTAACGCATTATACAGACTGCCTCTATAGTAATTGATTGAAATCATCGACAACTGTGAGTTATTCAGCCAAATTTAAAGGACGATCTAGAACGACACGGGATTCAGGAAAACGGAAATGTACACATGAATTTGACAAAGGATAAGCTTTCGTAAAAGACACAGAACGGTATGATCAAGGAAGAGGTTCTTCGAAAAAAATCGAGTTGTGCTCGAGGAGGAGGAGGAGGAGGAGGAGAAGTAGGAGGACAGTTGAAACTCCTACGCTAAAAATCTGACGTTAGAAGACATATTTTCGAAAGGTAGCTGCAACGCCTGTCTGCCTGTCGCGCTACTTATTACATTGTCCTTGTACTTCGGCCACGTATGCTTTATGGAGTTCGAAAGTGTGCCTCCATTTATGAACGTGGGCTGACAAAATAACTTCGATAATGTCATTCAACTTTGTACACAATTCGAAAAGAATCTTTGAAAAATAGTTGATGCCTAGTGTCGGCGTCTGGGATATAGGGGTGAATTAGTCTGCACCTTGATGACCGTCATCTTGGGTACTATGCGGATACGCTGCCAGATGGATGGCATCTCACTGATATATTCAATTAAGCGCTTTTTAGAAAGGGCAAGTCGGCCTGTTCTTGCCCTTTGAACGAGAAAGTTGGTAGATTAGCATTGCGTGAACGCAAGAGGAGGCATGCAACCTTTGATTATTTGGTCTCTGATTGTTATAGGATTGGCGGTGACGACTGTAATCGCAATAAAATGCCTTTCATTTGCACGAGAGCGTATTAAAGCACTGACGGCCTTTCTACTAAATTTGCTGTGGTAGCCTGTGCTGTGTACTCGCAAGTACTACTCAAGACGGCGCAGCGGAAATTGTAATCTACGGACATCAATTAGGAATCCCACTTGCAACATCTTTTAAGCAGTACAGAGATGATAACGAATTTGTGGACTAAAAAAATTGCCCAATTATACCGCCGCACTTGAAAGAGAACTATCAAATGTTGCCGAGTTTACGTTGTCACCTAGACCTATCTACCTTCACGTTTTTATCAGTAATTTCCAATTTAAAAAACAGACGTACTAGCCTGATACATGCGCGACACAAGTCCGCATGCGGCATTTCCGTTCTTTCGAATGTTCAACCAATCTGTTACCAAAGACTAATTTGCGTCCATTGATCCTTGCATTACACGTGCGCAGTTCTAGGGGATGACCGCACAAAGTGGGCGTGTTGGGCGAAGTAAAAATTTCCTTAAAGAGAAAGGCAATATTTCGGTCATTACTAATGCGGAAGGCTAGTATGAGATCACTGCGTAGTTGCCTGTAGGAAAGGGGACACCGGTTGACGGCCTGTTTTCATAGGGAAGTGCTCCTATATTTCGTGTCATTTTTGTCGTCGACCTCTGGACTTTCTCTAAAACGGACACACGAAGGTGTCAAATATGTCGGAAATTCTGAGTTTGCCGAATCCTACCAAAGTTCGCATTCTGACCTGTAATGTAAACATAACCGGAGATATTCACCTTATATAGTGACTCTTAACGACCATAAGGACGCCAAATGCTTTCTGCCTCGCATAAGGCATAAATCTCACCTGATCGTTTTTTTTCTTGTTGGATATGCTAAAGTAGCACAAATTGGCGAACCCCGAAGTAGTACAAAGTAGCGCGCACTGTGGGGTCGGACCCGGGACCACACTGGCACAAGATTGCGACGCAGACTCCCGCGCTATCTCCGCACGCCCGGGCGGACGCTCTAAAAGCCTAACAAATTGGTTAAGACCGACGCATGCGGGAACCTATTGCAGCGGTTGCCAAACGCTAGTTATTAGTGGTGAAGTGAAACCTCTAAAATCAGTAAAGAATGAGAGAAAGGAGACAGGGAAGACTATGGAGAAAGGTAGCAACAATCCGAAGGCGAGGGTGACAGACTCGCCAGAAAGGAAACCGATGGCCGAGCATGGAAATGATAAAGATGGACCGATGAAAGAGGAAAACATCCCTTAGACAGTATGCGCACCTCCTGAGACTAGTGTGAGGGGAGCGTTGACCAACAGAAAAATGAATAAAAATAACCCAGCGTGGGATTGAAAATACATACTCTCACGGATATTCATGCAACTAGTGTTAAAGCCCAAATATTGGAAGCCTCATCATCGGTCAGACCAAATATTCAACATAATTCGACGGAGGGAGGTGCAGTGAACAGAACACAATGCATAGTAGCCCATGGACATCGTTAATCAACCAACAATAACCCCAGATGTAGGATAAATGATAATATCATGACCTTGCAAGAGTGTTTGGGTAGCATAATAAAAGAAGATGAAGCCATTATGATTCTGAAACTGTTTCTACTAAATAGTAAAGATAGCGCGAGCTCTCAAGGAATGAAACCAAGGCCTTGAAAGATAGCTTTAGAAGGTAAACTCCAGAGGGATCTTCTACTTGAACGAACAGCAGGGGATTCCTGGCCAAAGAGGTCTTTTTTTAACCGGATTACTCGGCACAAGAGATAATGAAATGGAGGGCTCTGAACGCGGAGATGGCGACCTTGAAAGAACAAAGGAAGAAGGCACTAGAAATAATGAACGGAGTGAGTGTTTGACGAAAAAGACCCCTGCCGTGGAGGACGCCAGTCATACGGCCGGGCAACTAATTCGACGCAACAATCTACATAAAATTAAGTTCTTCTACGGAAGGGTGCATTCCTCTTGAACAAACTCGACGAACTTAAAATAATCGTGGCCGAACTCTGTCCTGATGTTATTGCATTAAACGTGGCTCACCCCAGATGTCACAGACCGCAAATACAGTTAGATGGTTATCAAGTGCTAAGACAAGAGCGAACCAAAAAGCGAGGTGGTGGAGTTGCCCTATATATCAGCAGTGCGGACAAATATAACCCTGTCGAAGAATGTGTAAATGGGCATGATCATGAGATGCTGCAATGTCATTTGCTGGTCCCCAAAGCCGAAAACGTTACTATCACCGTTGTGCATAATCCTCCAAATCGACCTGCCGACGAAGACCAAGCGTTAACCGAAGGCGAAACATTATTATCGTTGGAGATTTCAATGCTCTGCAGATTAACTGGGACCTTATGACAGTAAATGGCCACAGGTGCTCCAGGCATTGTTTGTCTAGTCTCTGTGAGACGGATTCATAACTGACCGACCAGGCCATTGAGAAAGGTGAATGTGCGTGGACAGTGTGGTCAGTTGAGATGTGTGGTGTCGGCGTCAGTTGCGGCAAGTGCGGTGGGGGCACAGGGTGATGAATTGGGGGTGGTGTTTTGCATGATGGATAAGCCGGTACTGCGGTCAGTTCCGCTCCCGTGGATACGCATTTGGCCGAATAGACCCATGCGATGCGTGAAGGTGCGAAGGCAGTGTGGTTAGTAGAGGCGGGTGCAGTGGGTGTAGTTTGGTGCTCCAAACACTGGTTCGCCAGCCTCTGTGCGATGAATTCGAAGTTGACCGACCTAGCCGATTTGAGGTGGAGGTGCGGTCGCAGTGAGGGCAGGTGCTGTCCGGATCCTCATTGCTGGAGTCGGAGGAAGTGGGGGTGGTGTCGGTTGTTGTGTCAGGGTTGGTGAAGTGCGAGGCTGCCGCCTGAGTTGCGGTCGTTGGGGCAGTGGAGGAGGAGGGGGACGATTAGGAGGAGGAGGATCAGGAGGAAGATGAAAGTGGTGGTTCAGAAGAATTGTCAGAGTTAGTCGGCGGTGGGGAGGACGAGTAAGAGGCGGGGGGGACGATGGTTGGTTCAGTTCGAGAGGCGCAGTTGATCCAAAGATGTCCAACAAGTCCTTTTTGTGCCCGGAATGTCCGTTAGCAGCGAGGGCACGTTGGAAACGGTTATGCGTCGGCGTTGCGTACTGGATGAATTTGGGATTTGCGGGCTTCGCGTTTACCTTTGGCCACAGCGATGCGGTTGGCTTCGTAGATCGCAGCGCCTGTCTACACTGTCCTCCTCCAGGTCGCTCGGTCGAGTGCGAGCTCTTCCCAGTTGGTCAGATTGATTTGCAGATGCTTCAGGGAGGATTTCAGAGTATCCTTGTATCGCCGAATATGGCCTCCTTGGCGGCGAGAAACCGTCGCGATGTCTTTGTAGAAGAGTCGTTTGGGTAGTCGCTCGTCGTCCATGCGCACCAGGTCCATGCGCAGCTGCATTTGTCTCAGCATGCTGTAGATGCTGAAGATTCCCGTTCGTTCCAGCACATCTGTGTCAGGGATTCGATACTGCCAGTTCAGAATTAGGATGCGACGGAGACAACTGAGGTGGAATTGGTTCAGTCGGCGTGCTTTCTCCGTGTACAATGTCCAGGTCCCCGTTCTGTACAGCAGCGTCAGCAGGATGACGGAATGAACATCTCCAGCTTCGTGCTCAGTTGGAAACCTTGACGATTGCAAACCGTGATTTGGAGGCAACCGAAGGCTTGACTGGCTTTCGAGGTTCTTTTGGCGACTTCGTCATCGATATGGGTGTTGCGGGAGGGGGTACTGCCCAGGTACGGGAAGTTCTTCACCACTTGCAGTTAGGTTCCGTTCACGCTGATCTGCAGCGTTTTGGTGGGTGTGGTTTATTTGGGTGGCGGTTGGTGCATCACCACCTTCTTCGGCGTGTTGATGACCAGGCCGAAGTTCTCGCAGGTGGTGGAGAACAGGTCCATGCTGCGTTGCATCTCCACTTCCGAGTTGGTGTTCAGGGCGCAGTCGAAGAGAAGTTCGTGCACGGTGATTATCGATACGCGCGATTGGAATTGCATACGTCGTTGATTCAGCAGGTGACCGTCCGTCCTGTAGGCCATGCGGATCCCGGGACGTTCGTCGCGGTAGACGTCCATCAGCATGACAGAGAACATAAGACTGAAGAGGGTTGCTGCCATCACGCATCCCTGCTTCACCCCTTTAGTCACTGCGAATGCCTTTGAGACAGCTCCGTTGTCCGTGACTCGCGCCACCATACTGTCGTGCAGCTAACGCACCATCTGATTGAATCCCTCCGCACAGTCGAATTTGGTGGTCAGGTCCACGAAGGTAGAGTACAGGTGGGTCCGCATCTCCTGACACTTTTCCTGAAGCTGACGGGCGGCGAAAATCATGTCCGTGGTCCCACGATGACGACGGAAGCCGCAATGGCTTTCCGGCAGAAGGCCCTGTCCCAGATGATTATTTAAACAATTGAGGAGGATGCGAGCGAAGATCTTGCCGGCGATGTTCAGCAAGGCGATGTCGCGGTGATTGTCGCAGATTTGTCGGTTCCATTTTCGCTTGTATAGGTGCACGATGGTTGCGTCCTTGAAATATTGCGGGACCTTGCTTTGACGCTACATCTCCTGGGAGAGCGCAGTCAGGTGATCCATGATTTTGGGGCATCCGTGCTTGTAGGCCTCAGCAGGGATTGCGTCCTATCCGAGTGCTTTCCCGCTGGAGAGTTGCTGCACGGCCCTGATGGTTTCCTGGCGGAAGGTCGAGATCCTCGTTGGTCTCCACTTGTGGCAGACGGGCGATGGCACGTCGCAGATAGCGGCGTGGCTTTTAAGGACGCCTCGGAAATGCTTGGCCGACCGCTTTAGAATTTATGTCTTCTCAGTCAAGAGGGTACTGACGTCGCCGCTGAGGAGAGGAGCAGTGCCCTTCGTCGGCGAACCGCAGACAGCTTTGATCGCGGAGAAGAAGTTCTTCCATTCGTTACGGTCCGCATACCCTTTGATCTTCTCAGTCTTGCGAGCAGTCCAGGCGTCCTGCATTACACGCAGTCGTTGCTGAAGTTGGCGGCGACTGCGGTAGAAAGCAGCTCTGTTGGCATCAGTGGGTTGGTCTACGTAGGCTATGTGTAGGTGGTTCTTCTCGCCGAGCAGATTGCAGATGGTGGCTTCGGTGTCATCGAACTAGTCCTGGTGTGGACGGCTTGCTTCGTCGTCTTGACCGCGTCTCGCAGTTGGCACCATCGGTTCTCCACGAAGGCGTTCTCGACAGCGGCGTCGGCAGCGGCAGCGATAGGAAAGTGTTCGTCAGGAGGAGGCGGTGTTCTTCGCAGGTGCGGAGAAGCAGCAGTCCTAAATTCGTTTGAGCCGAGGAGACCATGGGGCCCAGCTCTCCTCTCAAGGCAGCATTGTCTGTGCCGACGAGGCGTTGAAGTCACCAAGTGCAATCAACTTTTCCGCCTTCGACACAGTCGGCTAGAGCGCGTGCAGGTCCTCGTATAATTTGTCTCTTAGGTAATCAGGACTGGTCATCGACTGAGCGTTAGTACTGATGATGATGGCGAATTTGCCTACCCGGAAAGGAGGATAGAGGTTTATCAGGAGATCGTTAATGCCCTTCGGCAAACAGGTCAGTAGTCCAACGATGTCGTTCCGGATGGCGAAGGCGACACTCGCGTCGAGTAACTCTGGCCTGGGGCGACCACTCCAGAAGAAGGTGTAGCCGGCATCCACCTCCTCCAGTTGGCCTTGTTCGGAGAATCGAGTCTTTCAGAGGGCGGCGATGTCCACCTTGTAGCGCGCCAGTTCTAGTGCCACTAGCGCCGTCCACCGCTACGGTCGGTTGCTCATCGGACTGTCTAAAAGGGAACGAACATTCCAGGCTGCCAGGGTAAGCGGACTCACCCTGCCAGTCTGGCGACGAGTGGGGCGGCGAGAAGGAGGTGAAGAAGAAGATGTCGAAGGAGACGAATATGCAGAAGAATAGGCAGAGGTAAATGAAGAATAGGTAGGATGAGGAGGTGAGCGAGTATTGTTGTTGTTGTTATTGTTGTTGTTGTTGTTGTTGTTGTTGCTATTGTTGTTGTTGCTGCTGTTGTTGTTGTTGTTTTTGTTTTGATAGTCATTTTTGTTTAGAGTTTGAGTGTTTCGACCAAGTTTATGACATCTGCGACCCTGGCTAGTCTGCAGACGGCGTTGTGCCCATCAATGTTTAGGCCACATTTTCTAGGCCCTTCCCCTGGTGAGGGCGGTCTCATTTACTCCAGGCGATTCAGGATTAAAGGCTCCAACCCAGGCAGATCCTGTGTGCCAAGCCTGCTCTACTGTCTGGAACACTGGACTAGGGCTGTTGATAGAGGAGAGGACGCGACAGGACAAACATCATGCGCGCGGTTTGAATTTTGAGGAGCAAGAAGGAAATTTTCAATCGAGTTCCTCACTGGAAACAGTTGGTCCGGCATCAGAAATTGGATTCTCAAACGCATTGTTGCCTACTACCCTCAACCTTGCTGTCATCGTTGCCCTCATCGTACGACTAGGACACTTTTCTGCAATTGCTGGCAATCTGAGCGTAACCAACACAGCCTACAAATCCTTCATATCGTCTCGAATTGTCCACCGTACCTTGGGAACAGGACCTACTAAAGGCTGAGTCGATAATTTCTACACTGCTTGTTGAGCTGCTTAGATTTGTACTCCTGGCATATTACCAAAAAGTCATAGTTAAAAAGGCCTCCAGGCCTGGCATTCTTGAGATTCTCCGACAAACCCAACCATACACGCAGTTTTCCCTATTCGGCCTTAGGCGACGTTTTTTCCTTCGATTCTTGTGGCCTGCTCCCTTGCCATAACTTCACGGCATGACTGAAGTACGCACTGACGTCCGCGAAATCGGGTCGGGGTGTGGAATCGATCCAGCGATCACCCCTTGCTTAGTCAAGTGCGCTAACCCCTACGCCACCGCAGCACGTCGGCGAGCGGTATCACATAGTCTACTTGACTGTACGGACGCAGACAATGCAGGCCAAAGCTGCAATGGATGCCAGATTCTAGTCGCCAAGGTCAACTATCTTGAGGAAGAAATCACAAAGATAAAAGCCCAGTTGCGATGCAGTCTAGACCAAGCTAACGCTAGCACTTGCCTACTGGACGAGTAACCAGAAGTAGGGCAAAAGCTCCCAGCATAATAGGCACGCCAGCACCTATTACAGCGGCCCCAGAAGGAATAGCTAAAAAGCGAGAAAATAACGACCAGAAAGGCAACCCAAAAACTGAAGAGAAAAAAAAATCCAACTGTAAAATGGCCGAGAAAAACGGACGGCTACTTCCGGAAGATGCCTCTTTAGCGGCCGAAGCAGAGACATTGACAGATGCTCCGTCCCTCAAGACAAATGCTGTGTGTTCAAACACCTTTGCTGACTCTCAGAAACAGTCCGAGCTTGATAGACCTAGTACGAGCGGTGGAATCGATTCATCCATCACAGCCACAGATTTCGCTCCGCAGTCTTCTCCGTCAAGTACTTCTTCCAAGATTGTCAACATAAGAGTCAAACAAACAGAAGGCGTAAGCGCATCTGCTCCACCATCACCAGCGCGTAGTCCCAGAGCGTTACGTCATTTAGGGAACCACAATTCCGTAGAAAATAAAAAGAGACCGACAGAGAACAATGTCTTATTATTCAGGGGCTCCCTGAATCAAGTGCAACTACACCCAAGGAGCGAATTTCGGAAGACCTGTCACTCTTCCAAGATCTTCTCAATAATATTTTGGAACCCACGGAGGCTATTGAAGTGATCAAAGCCTTCCGCCTTGGAAAACGAGCAGATAATCCATCAATGTCCACTCGACCCCGGCCTCTTAAAGTTGTGCTGACCAGCAGCGACCAAGCCAGTCTCATTTACTCCAGGCGATTCAGGATTAAAGGCTCCAACCCCGGTGTTTTTTTTCAACCGGACTACTCGCCAGCCGAACGGCTCAAGCGTCGTCAGCTGGTTCTAGAACTAAGAAAGAGGCTCAGCGAGGGGGAGAACAATTTAGTAATATACAACAACTAAGTACGGCGGCGTCCATCACTCTTCTTTTGGACAGGTCCTGTCCGAATGACCGCGCAGCCGACATATTAAGTGAAGGCGCTAACCCAAATGTAACCACATCTTCCGTCAGCCGGAAATTGAAATTCTTGTACACCAACGTGCAGAGTTTGCTATTAAAGTTCGACGAGCTGAAGATCCACCTCTGCGACCTATCCCCTGACGTAATCTCTCTAACAGAAACCTGGTTGGCCCAACACGTGGACAACCGTGAGCTGGCCTTGCCTGGCTACCAGATGTTTAGAAGGGAGGAGGCGTACTAACGTATGTAAAAAATGGGCTAAATGTGTCAGACAAGACCGATAACTTTTCGTGTAGTTCCGAGGCAATCTGGTTGTCTATTAAAGTGCTGAGCTCGCCTAGCCTCGATGTCCTGACAGTTTATCGACCGCCGAGACGGGACAACATGGCCGACGCTCGCCTGCTGGAGGAGCTCGAAAAGTTCGCTACGCGGCCGGATATCCTAATCATGGGCGACTTTAACGCGCCCCATATTGACTGGAGCTCAACCCATGCGAATAGCTCAGAACAGACCTTCGATAGGAGTTTTTTGAACACGGCATTGAAGCTATTTCTCACTCAACACGTCATGTTACCAACTAGAGTACGCGAAGGCCAACAAGCCAACTGCTTTGATCTTGTCCTTACGAAGTCACAGGACAGCATTCATGAGGTGTCATGCCTACCCCCCTTAGGTAAAAGTGACCACGTCGTTCTCCTATGGGATTACTCGCTTTTTTGCATGCCCAAGAAACCCGGGACAGTTAGAAGAAACCTTTGGCGCGGGGATTTCAACCAAATGAGGGCTGAAATTTTACGCATTGAGTGGGAGTCCATATTTGCTGGGAGCATACTCGAAGACTGGCAACAGTTCCGAGAAATTCTGCACGAGCTGATCGTAAACCACTGTCCACTTTCACGGAAGAGGTTTACTAACCGACCTCAATGGCTTACGCAAGCCTTGAAGAATGAAGTGAATAAAAAACGACGGCTGTGGAAAAAATCGCTTTCTGACAGGAGCCCCACATCTATACGCGCGTACAAAATTCAAAGAAATCGAGTCAAGGGTCTTATTCTCAAAACTAGAAAGGAATTCGAAAGGGATCTGCTTAACCGTGCCGCGGAGAACCCTAAATTATTCTACGGTTACATTGGGCAGTGCACGC